TCACCAATTGCATGAAGACAAGAAAGATGGCCGGCTTCAAACCTACTTCCTTCTTATATTCCAATTCGGTCCACGTATGCATCTCGTGTTTCGGTCGGATGTCCTATGCTTTACCTCCACATTTGCTCAAAAGTTGAGTTAAGTGGTTGCGCAAACCTGGTTATAGTCGTAAGTGAGTAGGGTTTCAAGACTACCAGTAAATCAGTAGTATGAGATGAATTCATCCAATTTCGTTTAAGGTGATGATGGACTGGTAGAAGAAGAATTTTCCCACAATGATGTTAGTTGAGCCGACGTTCCATTCAATTTCACATAGCCTTGCTTTCCCAAAGTTGTTCTCATCCCGGCTGAAGTGGACTTGAGCCGGTGGTTGTGCTAGTGCAGCGTCTAATCTCGATACGTGGCCTCGCTCACAGAGCAGAAGTGAATGTGAAGGAATGCCAGGCCTTTCTGTAATGGGATCGACGATGAAGCAATGCTGTATCCAATATGACAATCGACAACATTAATTATAATCCTTGTTTTCGAAACTTGATCGTGTTGTCATTGCGACTCAATTGGACGTACCTGTCGAGAAGTCTTCTCCTCTCATAGTTTCCATTATTCCCAACATCACACCGTGGACTCGGTACATTCCCAGACACTTCGCCGGCATCGTCAATGCGTCCTGCCATTCTCAATACCACTCCCAGCTACAACTTGTCAAGGCGACAAGTGAAGTCAATCCCTTGACCGGAGCGGAGGACTTCACACAAGATTTCTTCAACTAAGTCGGCCTGACAACACGACAGAGTTGGGAAAATTAGGTCAGATCACTTGTAAAAAGGTTGGAATGAGTTCTGTTTAGAGTGAAACTGTGCATTTGTATATATATATGTGTGTGTGTGTGTGTGTGTGTAAGAGAGAGAGAGAGAGAGAGGTGGGAAGAGATTAGAGTGCGTAGATCCCTTCAGAGGACGAGAGACTCGTCTCAGTTATGCTGGAAAGATTTTGGTGCCAGTGTCGACCAGAGGCGAAGGAAAAGAGACGAGAAACGAGAGACGAGGCCGCCATTTAGCCTTGCCTGCCAGCTTGGCCCAGAATGGCTTGACCGTCCGACCGTCCGACCGTCCGACCGTCCGACCGGCGGCGACTCGGTCCACTGGTCGGCACAACCACAACTTACGAAACCGTACGACGTTTCGCCCAAAGGTTGGTTGGTGCGTGGCAAATGGGAGTGGCTGGTCAGGGTTATTCGAGGCAATTGGTTAAACCGGGTG